TCTTCTAAGTCTTTTCAAGCTTGTTCTTTTTCCTCTTTGGTTCCGGTGCGGGCTTTATTTAGGTTTTCCTTTACTTTTTGAGCAATTTTTTTATCTTTTCGACGAGCCTTGATATCGGCTAATATTCTATCTTGGAGGTGGGTAATTTGCTGAATATCGGTTATTTGGTTGATTTGACTTTCCCAATTCTGATATTCCGGACTTAACTCACTATTATTAAGTTGAGGATCTTGGTTCGGAATTTATCTCGGTAATAACTTGCTCTATTTTCTGCTTTAACTCTTGCCGTTTGGCTTGTTCTTTCGCTGCTTTATCCTTTTCTTCCGTCTCTTTTTTTTCTTTTTGTTTCTTTTCCTCTGCTTCCTTTTTTTCTCGTTCTTCCCGTTCTTTTTTTAATCTTTCTTCTTCTTTTCGAGCGTTTTCTTTGGCTTTCTTTTCGGCTTGCTGGCGTTCTTGGGTAGATTTCTTTTTGGCTTCTACCAAAGTTTCAATGTCTTTTTCTAACTGGTCGGTTTGGTAATTAGTGATTTCTTTCCGGTTCTTTAAAGCACGTAAATGGTCTTGTCAATTCGAGCGATTGTTATTTAGTTCGGTTTCACTAACACCTTGTTTTTGGGCTTTTTGAATGATTTCTCGAATAACTTGATTTTTATAGTCGTTAAACTTATCAATTATCCTTTTAATTAAAGCAACTTGTTGGTTTTTGAAATCATTAATCCGATCCGGTCTTCAAATACATTTTTTGAGGTGGGTTTCATAGTATTTAGCAATTCGGTCGGGAGCCATTTCCTCGGGACTATTACAAAAACAATCGGTTGGTCGACTATAAATATAACTTTCCCCTAGAAATAACATGGATTCAGCCAAAGTAGTGAAGTCAAGATTGCCATTTTGGATGGTGTTTTCGATATCTTGTAGGGCAGATTTATAGGTCGAATAAACTTCATCACCTTTATTTTCAGCAAATTTGTCTTCTTCATAACGCGAATAAGTTTTATAAGAAAATTTAACCACTGTGCAAGTTATTTCCACCTTAAAATTAATTCGGAGTGTCCCCTCAGAAAGAACTTCTGAATTTTGGATACTTGTTTTTTTTAATCCTAGTAACCACCTGCAATTTGGAAGATCAAGAGCTAATTGACCATAATGATAATTTTCATTCGGGAAAAAAAATCTATCATTAATCGAATTATATATATCTAACTCAAAATCAATAAATTTTAGGGGTGGGACATTGCCCGTGTGAGAAGAAGAATAGATTGAATGTAGTTTTTGGCTTAACTCCTCTGATAATAAGCGACATTTTCTCCGGTAGTCATTTTTCTCAACCAACTCTAAATCAGTAAAGTAAAAGTAAAAATCAGACCCGTTATTAAGTTTTTCAAGATCCTTTTTATATTCTTCATTAATGCCTTTAAACATGTTTTTTTAAATAGGTTTGATATCGCTGACAATTATAGAAAAACCTCCTATATAATTATTTTAGAATTATCGGTAATTGTCTTCTCCACTTTTTCTAAATCTAAAAGGGCATTGCGGAAAGCAATGGCTTGGTCAAACTTAAATTCTTTGGTGGATCTTTTCATCTGTCTCCGTAAATCTTTAACTAATTTTTTTAACTCTTTTTCCTCCATTTCTCCTTTTTGTGCTTTTTCCACTTGCAAGGAAATTAGGGGGTCAAGGGCGATATCTTTGACTGGTTTTTCGATGGTTTGAGGGGTAATATTATTTTGAAGGTTGTGGGCGGCTTGGAGATGACGTCGACGATTAGTTTCCTCAATCGCACTTTGCATATTACTAGTGATTTCATCCGCATATAAAATAACCTTGCCGCTCTTATTCCGCGAAGCTCGGCCAATGATTTGAATTAGCGAGCGAGTATCTCGTAAAAATCCAGGAGTGTCAGCATCTAATATACATACTAAGGAAACTTCTGGTAAATCTATCCCTTCCTTCAATAAATTAATTCCTACTATCACATCATATACTCCCCGTCGCAAACTAGTAATGGTTTGATACCGCTCAAAAATTTCTAAGCGACTGTGTAAATATACTACTCGAATTTCTCTTTCTTGTAAATACCTTGCGATATCCTCAGACATCGCAATAGTTAGAGCATAAATCAGAACTTTTTCTCCCCTTTCTTTTCTTATTTCTATTTCGCGAATGATATTAACCATTTCGCTATTTTTATCACTGCGGTTGCGAGGCCTTACTTCTATTTGGGGGTCTAAAAGACCAGTAGGACGAATAATTTGCTCTACCGGTCGATAATTTACTTTTTCTAGTTCAAAATTGCCAGGAGTAGCAGAGACATAGAGAGAAAAATTAATTTTTTTGAAAAATTCTGCTTGACTGAGCGGTCGGTTGTCCAAAGCCGAAGGTAGTCGGAAGCCATATTTTACTAAGGTTTCTTTACGACAGCGGTCGGTGTTATACATGGCTTTCACTTGGGGAATAGTAATGTGAGATTCATCAACAATAGTTAAAAAACCCTCTGGAAAATAATCTAATAACACGAAAGGAGTTTCTCCTTCCTTTCTTCCGTCAAAATAACGAGCGTAGTTTTCAATTCCAGGACAAAAACCCATTTCTCGCAATTTAAATAAATCTTCTTGAACCCTTTTTTCTAGCCGCTCGGCTTCCAGAAATTTTCCTGCTTGGTAAAAAATTGCTTTTTGTTTAGTTAATTCTTCCTCAATTTTCGCTAAAATTTTAGTTAATTCTTCTCCTTCTTCTCCCACGTAATCTTGACTAGGCGGAATGGAAATTTCGGTTAATTCCTTTACCCTTTCGCCAGTCTGTTTGTTTTTTTTTTCTATTTTTTTAATTGCATCTGCTTGGGTATTTATTTCAAAGTAATAATTTTCTTCTCAACCCAACATAAAACTAATCCTATTTTCTTCAATTTGACAGTTTCCGGGATTAATTTTTTTATCATGCTTATACCCTAGTAGAAATAATTTATCTTTGATTAAACTTTTATCTATTTTTTGACCTTGTTTTAAATCAATAACTACCTTGCGATAAGCGGCAGGGTTAAAACAACCATAAATGGCGGCTACCGAAGCCACTACAATTACATGCCGATCAGTAACCAAAGAGTTTAAAGTTTTCAAACGCATTTTGGCAATGCTGGCGTTTCGCTGAACTTTTTTGCCAATATAAAGGTCAGTAGTAGGTTTGTAGGCTTCTGGTTGATAATAATCAAAATAAGAGACATAGTATTCTACCTTATTATGAGGAAAAAAACTTTGCATTTCTTGATAGACTTGCATAGCAAGTGTTTTGTTATGAGCTAAAATTAAAGTTGGTTTTTGAGTTTGTTGGATAATATTAGCCATGGTAAAAGTTTTGCCAGTGCCAGTAGCTCCCAAAAGCACCTGTTCTTTTTGACCTTGGTGAATACTTTCTACTATTTTCTTAATAGCACTAGGCTGGTCTCCTTTCGGCTGAAAATTGGTGGTGAGGCGAAACATGAATGAAATAAAATTTCTAGGATATAATACTCAATTTTAACCTAATCGTTAACTAAAAAACTCTACCAGAAAATAAAAGTATAGAATAATATTAAGTTTACATATATAGTAAAATTTCAAATAATATCTCGTTCCAATAAACAAACTTACTTCCAAAACCACAAAGGAGACTTTTTAAAATTAAAATACTAATATATGAATAATTCTCAAAAAAAAAAAAAAAAAAAACAAAAAAAATAATTTAAATAATTAGTGGAATAATTATAATAGCCAAAATAGGAACAATAACTTATTTGGCTTGGTCTAAAAACAAGCCGGTTGAAAATCAAACACCAGTTAATTCTAAAACCGAAATTCAGAAACTACAAACTCAATTAAACTCTCTCAAAAGTAAACTGGATAATGTTTCAGATGCTACCCAAAAAAGTCGGTTAGAGAATAAATTATCTAGTATTGAAAATCAGTTAAAAACTCTTTCAGGGCAAAATAATTCGCCAGCGACCATTAAAAACTTGGAACAAGAAATTAAAAAAATTAAGCAAGCAATAGAGGGCAAGGATAAGCCTAATCAAGACAACCCAGATAGGAATGATGACCCAGATGAAGACCCCGAACCAACTAACAAGAATAAAACAAAAGCCAAATTTGTTGGAAAATCTTTGAAAGACCAAGATGGTGGAGATTTTGATAATTATAAATTTTTGGATTTAGGCAAATCAGGAAATACTATAAATATTTTTTATATCAGCAAAAATCACCCTCAAATTAAACAATTATTAAGCCAAAATAAATTACAAAAAGATAAACAGTTTACTGTTCGCTACGGAAAAATAGATGATAGATGTCATTCTCCTTCTGATGAGGATGGTTCTTTGCTTACTTTTAATGAAAATAACCAGGATTTAGAAATTATTGAAGTTAAAGAGCCTAGTCCCGTCCCAAATCCTAACCCGCAACCGGGAAATAATAAAGGTTTTCATTTTGTTAGCACTAAAATAAATGACAATACTTATAAATACAAAATAGCCCTAGATGTAA